GCTTGCTGTTTTAGTTTATATAAACCAAGAAATTTTACTTCAGTGGTTAGTCAATTAGTTGATTTCCATTTGCTTTTGGTAAGGTTATGGTAAATTTAATATTTTTTAAAATGTCACTGGCCTTTTTTTTTTTGGAGCATCTGTGTGAATTACTTTTTTTGTTAAGTTCCAGTTAGCCTCTCAGGGATTTTTAGGAAAAAGAAAATCTGCTGTCATGATTTATACCTAACAAAGGATTAGTGGCATGAGTGTGTAAAAACGGACATACAAAGGGGAATAGAACAGAGTAGAAAAGGTGAATAACTACTAAATCCACAAGGAATACGAGGTAGTGTGGTGTTGATATTTTCTATTAGGAGATATACTCATTTGTTCCTTTAGATCACATGCCTTATATGAGAAGGTGACGTTACATAAAGATGGTAGCTGAGTCTGGGTCTCAGCTAGGAAATGCTGATTGGATAAAAAATTTGACTTTTATTTTATTTTATTTTTTTTGAGATGGAGGCTCGCTCTGTCACCCAGGCTGGGGTGCGGTGACACGATCTCGGCTCACTGCAACTGCCACTTCCCAGGTTCAAGTGATTCTTCTGCCTCAGCCTCCTGGGTAGCTGGGACTACAAGTGAGCACCACCATGCCCAGCTAACTTTTCTATTTCCTTCTTTTCTATTTATTTATTATTTATTTATTTTTTTTGAGACGGAGTCTCACTCTGCCTGCCAGGCTGGAGTGTAGTGGTGCGAACTCGGCTCACTGCAACCTCCACCCCCCGGGTTGAAGTGATTCTCCTGCCTCAGCCTCCCCAGTAGTTGGGACTACAGACACCCACCACCATGCCTGGCTAATTTTTGAATTTTTAGTAGAGTCGGGGTTTCACCATGTTGGTCAGGCTGGTCTCCAACTCTGGACCTCAAGTGATCCACCCGCCTCAGCCTCCCAAAGTGCTGGGATTACAGGCGTGAGCCACTGCGCCTGGCGAGGACTGTGTTTTTTTTTGTTTGTTTGTTTTTTGAGATGGAGTCTGCTTCTGTCACTCAGGCTGGAGTGCAGTGGCCCGATCTCGGCTCACTGCAAGCTTCACCTCCCAGGTTCACGCCATTCTCCTGCCTCAGCCTCCCGAGTAGCTGGGACTACAGGTGCCTACCATCAAGCCCGGCTAATTTTTTTGTATTTTTAGTACAGATGGGGTTTCACCGTGTTAGCTAGGATGGTCTCGATCTCCTGACCTCGTGATCTGCCCGCCTTGGCCTCCCAAACCCAAAGTGTTGGGATTACAGGCATGAGCCACCGTGCCAGGCCTGGACTGTGTTTTTTAATCGAAGACACTTTTATCTTTAAAATGAACGTATGGTTATTACAATAGAAATCTAAGCCGATCCTCTGATGGCTTCCTCTGGTGATTCCCATTTCCTGGAGTCTCTCTAAAACATAGTTACAGTACAAATGAATTGTATATATTTTGAATCTATTTAATTCCTCTTCTTTCAGTTGAGGAGATGGAGTTAGAGAGGTAGGCAGTTTTCATATCATGTAGAGCCTTTCACACCTTCAAGATATTTTGTATTTTTCTTTAGCAGTGCTTATCATGATTAGGTAACTCTTTGTATGGTCAATAAATGAATGTTTGTCTTGACAGACTAAGTTCTGTGTGTTTAGGAGCCACACTGCCATCACCTGCAGTACAGTGTTTATATAAATAAATGGAGCTCATGGCAATTTCTTAAGTTTCTTAAGTTTGAAACCATTTTGTCTGAAAATTTGTTTAATATAATAGGTGTCAGAGAATATCATTTCTTAAAAATGTTAATCATTTGCACAAAAGGTCCCCATCCCTTAAGAGAGAATGACACGTAAGATGCTGAATTAATTAGGAGATCATCTTTATTTGTTGGCTACAAATGTAGGGATTTTTGTCTGGATTTGTTCACGGATTTATTCCTGGAAACAGGAATAGTGCCTGTTACAGAAATATATATTGAATCAATGAATCAATAAAAGTGCATGACGTTCACAACTCAGTAATAAGAAAACAAATAACCTAATTAAAAAATGAGCAAAAGATTTGACCAGCCACTTCAGCAAAATAGATATAGGATGGCAAAAAACACACGTGAAAAGGTGCTTAACATCATTAGTCATTAGGAAAATGAAATTTAAAACCACAATGAGATACTGCTACACATCTGTTAGAATGGCTAAAATAAAAATAGCTGACAAAACCAAGTGTTGGTGAAGTTGTAAAACAACTAAAACTCTCATATGTTGCTGGTGGTACAGCCCACTTTGGAAATCAGTTTGCCAAATTCTTATAAAATTAAACATGCACTTAAACTAAATACTGCATGTTCTCACTTACAAGTGGGAGATAAATGATGGGAACACATGGACACAAAGAGAGGAACGGCTGATATTGGAGCTTACTTGAGGGTGGAGGGTAGGAGGAAGGAGAGGATCAGAAAAAATAACTAGTAGGTACTAGACATAGTACCTGGGTGACAAAATATTCTGTACCACAAATCCCCATGACATGAGTTTACCTATATAACAAACCTGCACATGTACCTCTAAACCTAAAATAAAAATTAAAAAAGTAACTAAATGGGACTATAAATGTAGATGTGGATCAGTACCAAGAAGTTTTTTTTTTTTTTCCACAAACCCCTAAGTGTCTGATTTCCACTCAAGTCTTTTAAACTTGTTTTATGTTGCTGCGTAGCAGAGGTCTTTTATTTTCCACTTTTTAATGTACCTAAAAAGCATGAACCCTGCATTTCAATGGACTGTATCATATGCTTTTTTGCTAAAAAACTTTTTCATCAAACACAATTACATTGTTCAGTTTTGTTGTAAACTTAACATAAGATGCACTGTTGATTTGCTTTCTGATATATTTGAGAAGAGTGATAAAATAAAGCTTAAAAACTGAAAAAGAATTAAAAGTAAGCAGATACTTAGCATCTGACCTAGAAACCTACTCCTAGAAATTTGCCTACAGGAAAATGAGACATATGTATACACACACAAAAACCTGTACGCAGATGTTTGTGAAGCCTTTATTCATAATTTCTAAAAAATTGAAAACAACCCAAATACTCATTAACTAGGGAATAGATAAATAAATGGCTAAACTATGATACATCCACACAATGAAATATCACTCAGCAAGAAAAAGAAAAAGCAGCAACATGGATGAATCTCAAATACATTATGATTCATCGAAAGAAACCAAACTCAAATGGCTACATACTATGTGATTCCATTTATATGACACTCTAGAAAGGCAAAACTGAGATGGAAATCAGATAAACACAGGTAAGGGTTCGTCAACCAACAGGGCTGGAATTGGGGAAAGTGAATGGACTACCAAGAAGGGGAGCTGTTTGGAATGATGGGAATGTTCTGTATTTTGACTGTGACAGTAGTATCCAACCATATCCATTTGTCAATATTCATAGAACTGTACACTAGAAAAGGGTGAATGTTCCTGTATGTAGAAAATACCTTAATAAACCTGATAAAGAAATCAAAGTATTTATGAGGTCTTTTTTCTATGAGTACTTGAGCAAGCAAATTGTTAGCTTGCTGCTTTGAGAATCAGGAGCAAACCCATGCTTTACCAAGGGACTAAAGATACTCGTGAGACTCACTCTCCTACTTATCATTCCCACTGTTCTTTTTCTTTAAATGCTTACCCTGATAAACTGGTAATGAAGAACTTAAACATTCTTAATCTCTTCAAAAAATTAATGAAAAGATAGAAAGATATGTTGTAGGCATTTGAGTTTCATGTGGCGAGGTCTTTACTTTTAGCAAAAACCATTTATTAAGTAATATCTGCCATTTAGCACTGGGTAAGACATTGTGTTCTTAGCATGTCGGGCAGGGCTAGTAGACGCAGCACAAGCCTCGTTTGCTACCTCAAGGAGTTGCCATGAGAATCAGTAAAGGGTGTGTTTGTGTAAGCACTGTGTAAATTGCTAAATAAATGCAGGTGGTTTCATTGCCAAATATTTAAAAACCTCGGAATAACAAGCAAATAAACTTGGATTTCAGTATCAAAGAACAACCCACAAACATGGCGTGGGTGAAACATAGGAATGAATTACTTGGCTTACATCTATGTTTGGCCCCAGTGCCTTCTTGCCTGGTGGGGAGAATCTGGTGTCCAGGAGCTTTGCACATAGCATGGAGGAATGGCAGGAATGAAATTTCATAGACTGGAGAGTGGGAGGAGACTCAGTGGAAAGACTGCTACCGGCAAAACTTGGAGTTAGGGGCTCTGAAGGAGTGAATCCTCAACAGTTTGTGTGTTTGTAGATGTACATGTGTTTTATACAGTCTCTGTCCTTTTATGAAGTGGACTCTCTTGTTCTAAATGTAGGTGACCATTGTAGCAAATGTGCTGTTACCCACACCAAACTTTTCTTCTGATACCTCCTCTTCCAGTGGTTTTGCCGCCCTAGTTCTTGATACATTTTTGTTCCGTGTAACTGCTTTTATCCTCATGAATATTGTCATGAAGTCACTGATATCAGTGGCAAAGTTTTAGGTACAGTCATAACCTATTTCTCATCTTCTTTTATGTATATACACACACAATTAGAAATCATACCTTTTTCCCTCTTAGGTTGCTATGTCATATGTCATAAAGAGGTACTCCAAGTTGAGCTCAACAAATATTTATTTATATGACTTTATTTGAAAACTTATTTACAGAGTATTACATAATGATAAAATGAATTCTACTAGCAATATGACCTTGACCAGATCCTTAACTAACATCCCGGTTTCTTTACTTGCAAAATGCAACTATTAATAATAGTACCAATATTGCTCTTTTCACTATATAGTTGTAAGAATCACAATAGCTTAGGAAAGCTTGTAGTCAACTCTGATGTTCTGCCCAAATACAAAACAGTGGTATTATTAATGGAATCCTTCTCATTATTTGTACTATTCCCAGAAAGGGGTACACTGATAAATTCTTATGTTTTTCCAGGGAGAGTCACACCAGGACAGCTCATGTCCTATATTCAGCTCTTCAAGAACAACCTCAAAGCTCTAATGAATCACTGTGGGCTCCTCCAGCTTGGGCTGGCCACAGCTCAAACGTTGAAACACCCACAGACTGCCAAGTGGGACAACTTTCTCGCTTTTGAAAGACTCCTTCTTCAGGTATGTTGCTGTGGGTACTTCGTGGGATCTTAATAATTAATGTTTTGATTTCCAGGGAAAAACTTTGACATTTATTATAGCCTTAGTAATAAATCATATTGTTGACATGTGCCCTGCTTCATATTCTCTAAGTGCCCCCGAGTTAAAGTTCAAGTAGAAACTTTTTTCACACCTGTTTAAAAAAATATTTCGACAGTAATGTCTTTGGCTTCTTATTCAATACTAAGGATGTTTTTTGAGCATTGAACTAACCTCTGGAAACCTCTTTCAATTTTATGCCATTTGGACCTTTCTCGCTCTTCATGGTGTCTTTATTTGATCCTTGCTACTTTTTCTGTAGCATATTACTACTATTCACATTTCCTCTGACATTACCTAGTTTCTAGTCCTTAAGCAACACATAGCATGTGCCTTAAAATGGCGTTTAGTAAAAAATGAAGGAAGTGATCTCCATTTGTAGTGTTTATACAGATATTTGTATGTGGGATAGGAACTTTTCATGACTGATGAAATATTTTCATGGGAAACTTTTCAAAAAATATGTAGTATGTATTTTTTAAAATTATAAAGTAGTTTTTAAAATTATACAGTACTTTAAAAAGGGATAGAGGATTATAAAGCATAAATGTACTAAAACGATGAGTATCTGTAAACTTTCCACATAGACTCAATATGATTTATCATTATTTTCATATCTGTCATGGATCCTTTTTCATTAAAGAAATAAAACTAGAGATAAAGTTGAAGCATTCTTGATACTATATAACCATCTCTAATTTGATTTTCCTTTTTCTTTCCCTAGAGATAATTACAAGCTCAATTCGTTGTTTTTACATTTTTATTAAATATTTACTTTTTCATAAATAATATAGAGCATTTATGCTATAGGTTTTAATTTTACATAAGTGATGTTATACTATAAATATCCCTAAATAGCTTGCTTTTTTCTCTCAAGGTTCTATTTTTAAGATAATCCAAAGTGATGGGCTAGGTGCAGTGGCTCACGCCTATAATCCCAGCACTTTGGGAGGCTGAGATGGGCGGATCACTTGAGGTCAGGAGTTCGAGACCAGCCTGGCCAACATGGCAAAATCCTGTGTCTGCTGAAAATATAAAAATTAGCTGGGTGTGGTCGTGGTCATCTATACTCAGGAAGCTACTCGGGAGGCTTAGGCAGGAGAACTTCTTGAACCCGGGAGGTGGAGGTTGTATTGAGCTGAGATTGTGCCACTGCACTTAAACCTGGGTGACAGAGGGAGACTCCATCTCAAAAATAAATAAATAAATAAATAAATAAATAAATAAATAAAGTGATGTATGTAGATCTAGCTCATTCCTTTAAACCACATCATAAATATACAATTTATTTATGCAATCTGTACTGTTGTTTAGTTAGGCTGTTGCATTTGTGCCCGTGTGTGTGTGTGTGTGTGTGTGTGTGTGTGTGTGTGTGTGGTGTGTATGTATGTGAGATTAGGAAGAATTATGCAGTGAATACTCTGGAATATGTCTCCTGTTATATATTGTTGAGTTTACCAAAGATTGCCAAAAATGTTGAACCAGGTAAGGCTAAAAGCTGTGTCCTCTTCAGGATGTCAATGAGCTCCCTTCATTATCCCAGAATGTCTAAAATGTCACAAACATACATCAAGAGGCAGAAGAAGGAGCTTATTTCTTCATTATGTATTTTTCCTATCAAGGCAAAAAGAAAAAAAAAAAACTTTCTGAATCCTTAGTGATGGCTATGAGCCTTACCTCAAAATATCTTGTTTTGTGAGATGATAATTTTTGTTTAAGGTGATTGGTTTTCTGTTATTTGGAGCCAAAATACACTCATCTTTTTCCCGTTAATATGTAATATACTAAGATCCCAAATAAAAGTGGTTTATTCCCAGTTTTTGGTTTGTTCTAGTTGTCAGTTTATCAATCCCAGTGCTTTTAAATCATATATTCAGTTTTATGCTTTTATTCATGAGTATTTTAAGGATTTTAATGCCATTATGAATTGAATTTTTAAAATTTAATTTTCCAGTTTATTGTTGGCATGTAGGAATATATTGACTTGTGAATAGTGATCATGGATCCAACACTTTGCATTTTGTGATGATACTTGTTTTCTTATTTCTGGTTGTTATTCATTGATTGTCCTGGGTCTTCTGTGTGGGCAAGAATATTATCTGTGAATAAAGTCAGTTTTGTTTCTTCGTTTCCACACTTGATACCAAGTGTCTTTCATAGTGCATTGACCAGGCATACTAGGCCCTTTTTCAGTAAGAGTCATGCTAACACGCATCTTCATCTTATTCCTGACTTTAAAGAAAATATTCCAAAAAGGTTTTGTTTTGTTTTTAATCAGACTGAGGAAGTTTCTTCCTAATCCTAGTTCGCTGTTTTTTTTTTTTTTTTTTTTTTTTTTTTAGTGATGCATTAGTGTTGCATTTTGTTTAATGCAGATTACTAATTTTTTAAATGACTATATAGTTTTTCTCCCTTAATCTGTTAACGTGGTGAATTGTGTTTATAACTTTTTTAATGCTAAATAATCTTCATTGCATTCCTGGGATTAATTCAACTTGTTCTCACACACACACACTCACACATGTAAACATATGCACACACACACATACAAATTGCTGGATTTAGTTTACTAATATTTTCCATAGAAATTTGCATTTATGGTCATAGGTGAAATTAGGATTTTTTTTTCTTTCTTTTTTTGAGACAGATCTTGCTCTGTCACCCAGGTTGGAGTGCAGTGGCGTGATCTCAGTTGACTGCAACCTCCACCTCCCGGGTTCAAGTGATTTTCCCATGTCAGCCTCCTGAATAGCTGGAATTACAGGTGTGTGCCGCCACGTCTAGCTAATTTTTGTATGTAGAGATGGGATTTCGCCACGTTGGCCATGCTGGTCTCAAACTTCTGACCTCAAGTGATCTGTCTGCCTTGGCCTCTCAAAGTGTTGGGATTATAGGCATGAGCCACTGCACCTGGCCTATATTTTTTTCTTTATTGTTCTGCCATGGTCTTGTTTTCCAAAAAAGATTATAATAGTTTGGTAAAGTCGATTAGGGTGAGTTTTCTTTATCTATTCTCTATTTGTTTAAAAAAGGAATTATCAGTTACTTAAAAGTAAAATATTTCCAAAAAATAACCTGGACCTATCGCTTTGTTGTTGATATTTATAATTATAATAATAATAATATAAGTAATAATAATCAAGTGATTCAAAACTATAATTTCTTCAGTTCTTTATCGCTTTGATTTATCTTCTGTCAGAGATGATTTTAAATTACTCACAATGATTGTGAATTTACCAATTATACCATTTTAAAACATTTCTATCTCTATCACTGTCATTATGTCTGTCTTCATTAAAAACTATGAGCTCATATTGCTTTCATAGTTCTTTTTCTTCTTTTTCTGAGACAGGGTCTCACTCTGTCACCCAGATTGAGTGCAGTGGCATGATCACCACTCAGTGTAGCCTTGACATCCTGGACTCAAGTGATCCTCCCACCTTAGCCTCCTGAATACAGGAGTGCACTAGCACTCCTGGCTCATTTTTATTTTTTATTTTTTGTAGAAATGGGATCTTTCTATGTTGCCCAGGCTGGTCTCAAACTCCTAGACTCAAGTGCTCCTCCCACCTCAGCCTACCAAAATGTTGGGATTACAGGCGTGAGCCACTGCATCTGGTTTAATATCATAGCTCTAACCTAATAGCACATGTTTCATTCTAGTTTTCCCCCTTTCCATAGTTGTACCTCCCTTCTCTGACAGTGAGGAACTTATCTCCCATTATCCTCGACATATTTAATTACTTTATCAGTCCCCACTGTGTGTAACTAATCTTCCAGTAGAGCTGCTGCCCCGTGGCGTGGATGCCTCCTCACCTCACCTGGGCTCTCTCTTCCTGCTCCAGGTCATGGCCAAGCCCACACGGATGTTCTCTCTCACTTCATACAGAGGTACCCTTGTGGAAACCTCCCCATAGGGATGCTCTTCTACCTCTATTGAGCTCTGACATCTCTGTGCTGCCCCTACCTCTGCCTTCTTCATAGAGGCCCTCCTCAGGCCTCTCAGGTTCCAGCACCCCACACTAAGCCCACACTGTGGCTCCTAAGGCACAGATGCCCTCCTCATTCTGCAGGCTCTGACACTTTGTGCCGAGTCACTACCATTGCTACTGCCCTCTTTGGCCACCCTCACCTGCTTAGTGACCTACACTGCATCCTGGGATGTTGTTATCCCTCAACCTCCACCTGGATACCTTTCTCACCTGCTTTGGTTCTGACAACCCATGCAGGGCTGCTGCTGCATTCTCCCCTGTCCTCCAGCCTCCCTATCCCTTCGAGATGTCCTCTTTACTCCACTTGGGTCCTGGTAGTCGTGTGGACACCATCCTTACCTTGCTCAGGTTCTGATCCCCTGCCATGGATCCTCACTTCCACCACCTTCCACCTGGATGCCCTTTCCATCCCCTTGGATTCCAACAACCCCTGCGAGACTCTCCCACCCCCATGCACTAATGCCCGCCTCACCTGGCTCTGGCTCTGACACCATGCCCTGGGCTACCATTGTCTCCCCTGTGGACACCCTCTTTATACTCATGGGCTCTGATAACCTGCCCAAAGCCACTATTGTGACCTCCTTCATTCCCCCTGCCCTACCGTATGGACAATCTCTTCACCCTGCTGCTGTCTATATCACATGTCCTCTAAAGTGAGCCCCACTACAAAATCTCATAAAATTGGTTCAAAACAAGGCTATGCAGAGATTTTCTCCTGAGAATGATAATCTTTCTAGATAAGCTTACTAAAGGTTTCTGAAGAAACTTGACATATTAATTCTAAGCTGCTTTTTATTTGTAATTAATATTTGGAATCTTTTGTTCCATATTAGACTCTTATTAGACTATTAGATGTGATCATGGTAATTGGTGTGGTTCTTTCAACAACTAAAGAAAGAGTTGAAACACTGAGGAACCCCAGGCATAGTG